TGGGTTACTGAATACAAGCTACAATATGGCGATGATGGACTATTTTTCAGAGTTTACAAGCGAAACGGAGACATATCAGACACGGTATGAAAAAATATGCTTAATTGAACAAACCTTTTTGCGGAGAAAAAGTCTCCATGAGGAATAGAACCTTTTTGTATTCTGCATTCCGAGTCTATTCCACTGAGACACAAAGCAGTTACACTAAGCTGGGCCATATACTCTCTGTCACTGAACCTACAGAAAAGCATTCACGAAAGTTATAGGTTAAGAGGAACTCGTACTGTAAAAAAGAAACTTACGCTTGTTAATTTTACGCCCAAATATATTCTACTCAGGTTTTCCCAGGAAACAAGGACAGAGACACAGTAGTTTACCACGATCTTAACCCGCTCATTTATGTTCGCTATGTTCGAGTTCTTCCGATGGAGTGGAAGTGGGTGATCGCTATGAGGATTGAGCTTTATTCTTGTTAAGGTAACCTACTGGTCCAATTGTGTAGCAATGGCCGAGATTTTTGGGAAAAACGTATTCTGGGAGACGGAAGGTGTGCATTGGGTAAGGGTAAGCTGTAATGGACTGACATTACATTTAACCCTTTAGCTCCCAAGATCTTCATCCTAATTCTCCCGTGTAGCTGCTACACATTCCTTGCAAATCAGGTACAAGAATTAGGTTTTAGATCAGGATAACAACTTTTACCTGATAAGTTTGAATATTCTCATCACCTGTTTGCTATATCTATGTATCTATGGATATTTTAGGGAAGAGTTTCATGTTAATCACTTCTGGGAGTTGAGGGTTAAGAGCGCTAGCAGTGCTCAGAAACCAAAGGGAGCCCTGGTTTAAGGCCAGTTGCCCTTTGAGTTTTACACATGATTGTAATATGTCATCGAGAGAGCGCATTTCACATAACACTCCCAACACCTGTTTTTTTTTTTTTTTTTTACTGAAATACATGATTTGTTTTTCATAGAGAACCAAATTCTCTTTATTTGTTTAGAAGTCCAAAAGTCACAACTGAAGGAAAGAATTCACCTTTTCGGTGTTAGATTGCACTTGTAGTGTCACGTGACTTGTGATGTAAACAAACCGCGAAAGTTTAGACATGGAGTCAACCATCCACGGCTCGAGTCCGAACTTCGGCTTCGGATTTTGTCGTAAATAGCTTTCCTCTGTCGCGCCATGGAAAAATAAAAAAACATACTGTGTACAGTGATGTATCTTCTCAGGTATTTTCAGGGCGTTAAGCGCGTTGATTGTTAAATGAAACCACTTCTGATAGGAGATTATTGTCCACGAATCGCTGTAGAACGTGATCAAGCCTAAATTCCCACACAGAATTTCGTTTCATATCGTATTGCGTGGAATGTTTTATGTAACGCAAAGGGGAAATCCTGCCAAATCCAGTTCAGTCTTCAAGAGCAATTGTAGCTTAGAATAGCAGATCACAAAATTCGAGACGGTTTTAACGCTATGAATGGGGTATAACCTAAAAATGTCTGCAGAAACGGGGCATTTCAGTGAGCAGATATTTCACAACTTTGTGTGGGAAAGTCGCCTTCGCAGTCGAAAAAAAGGGTTCTATTAGTGTGTCCAAATTTCGATAAAAACGGCACCGCCACTTCAGGCAAATCAATAATTCATGATATGTTTATTCTCAATCTAGTTTTTTTGAAGACTGTGACCAATTTTAACGCCTCGCGGCCGTTTGGATTGTAGGATATTTTTAATCATTTGATTTACTACTCCACCGGAGTCAAGCATGGACTCGCCGCTTATAAATCATTTGTTACGTATCGTAACCATCAGAAGTCTCGTGATACTATACGTGAAATCTAACGCCGAAAAGGTGAATTATCAATCAGATCCTGGAAGTCTGACGGTTGAGGCAGGGGAATCGAGAAAAACGACCAGAAACTATCTTTTACATGCTTGTTAATGCTGTTTTTGTTTCCTTATTTTTCATAGAGAATAATGACTGTTTGCGAGAAACATCACTGCAATTCAATTCCTTCTATGGCTAATCCAAAATGATTTTTGTTTGTGGATTACAAAGTACAATAGCAGCTTGATTCGTTGACTGATTAATTATTGATCGTTTTAGCTTAATAGTCGTTATAATTCGTAATGTGAGGGATATGCACTAATGGCAGCACATTAAGACGCACCTGTAAAAACGAACGAACGAACGTGCTCTTTTGGAGACTCGTGTTCGATCAACCTCAGTGCCTAACGGGAACCGATAGTGAAAACAAACCAATCTCTCGTGAAAATGTATAATGTATCATACTCTAATCACCACTTTAACAAAGTAATAAATCTTGTATCGTAGGAAAGAGACACATGTGCGTTCATTAAGGAAAAGGCGACAAGAAGCCTGACGAGTTTGCATGCCTTTAAAACGTGTTTAGCAGTTGTAGCTGATCAAATTATTTAATAGAGTATGTTACCCCTAATTAAATTTGTAAGTAAGCAAATGAACCTTGCGAGTAAATGTGACTCAAATAGTCAGATTTAACGCTCAGGAATTGTTGAGAAATAATCGCACAATAAAAAAAGTTGTTACAACCCTGAAGGTTTCGACTTTTTAGAGCAAAAATGGTTATGAGAGATTTGTTCGATACAAGATGATATCATTGAAAGTCCTGGAATTTTTGCAATGGATGAATGTGATATTATAGTTTCTTCATTAATCAAATTATAACACGTGTTTCTACCTGGATTCGAACCTGCAAATTGTGACACGTGTTTCTAGTAGGATTCCAACCTACAAATTGTGACACGTTTTTCTGGTAGGATTCAAACCTGCAATTCTTCGTGTATAAAGCGGACGTGATAACTACTCCACTACAGGAACGCGGCTTGTAAGCATGGCTTTGTCCGCCAAGAGCATCTCACTCATGGCGCGATATGACGTAGTCTTTGAAGGTCAAGAAAAGCTCTGAAGGCGTTTGCGATATCGGCGCAATTTTGATTTTATTTCTGGTTACTTTTACATTCGCTGAGCCGGGTTACAATTTGAATAACGTAAACTTTAACGTCATTTTGACAGTGCACGTGTTGTGTTATCGGAGAGCTCAATTTTAAATTTTGTCTCATTGCTGTTTATTGAATAAAGATTAAATTCACGCATACAAAATTTGCAGAAGATATGACGATAGCTAAATGATGGCTTTGTATTGTTATTTTTCCTTGCGAAAAAACAATCATACCGATTGTTGCTGTAACATGATTTTATATTCAAATTATTTATAAACTGCGTCCTCGTCATAGGAATTTCTTTTCGTTATTCAGGTATCAAAGTTCCTCTGTCGTTCATATCACAGATTCCTGATGCTATTTTGACTGTCGCCAAAGACCTAGGCGTTCAGCTGGATGCAAACCTCAGTTGTCACGAACATATTACTAAGAGTGTTTCCAACTGCCTATTTAAGTTAAAACAAATCAATAGAATTAAACATCTTTTGGATAGGAAAAGGCTGTTGCTACTTGTATGAATGCCTTCGTTTTTAGCAAATTATTGTATTGCTCAAGCGTCTGGAGCAATACCAGCAATAGCAACATTGAAAAATTACAAAAAGTTCAAAACTTGCTGGACGAATCGTTTTGAGACTTAGAAAATATGACCATATTTCCGAAGGACTAAGATCATTGAATTGGCTCCCTATTAAAGATAGACTTAAATTGAATGATGCAATTATGGTTTTTAAGTGCATTAATAATCTTGCTCCAGACTACCTTGCAAATGAGTTTGAGCTGCGTTCTTGTGTTCACGACGGGCAAACTCGATCAGCTAGTACCCTGGATATACCCTTTTGCTGTCTATCAACTGGTCAGAGATCGTTTGCTTATAGAGGAGCGAAACTGTGTAACTCATTAAGCAGCAATCTTAAGTGTTTAAAATGTCTCAAGAAATTTACGTTTCAATTTACTTAGCTGTATTACGAGTGATCGTTAAGTGGAAATGATTGTCTGTAGCTAAACAGAACGATGTCGGAACAGCAACAAAGATGATTTATTCATGATGTACGTAGTCTTCATAGCTGCAAAACTCTGAAACAACTCGTCACAGTAAACACTGATTTACAGTCTGCCAAACTTCAAATAATCACAACTGCCGTTAAACTCAACCTCAGTTACACTTTTGAGTAAACTCTACCTTTATCACACTATTCAGCTTGTAGTCTGGGAACAAATGTGGTCGCGTGTGAAGTTCGTGCTGAAAGCAAGCACCTAATGTAAAAGTGTTCATTAGGACCTACTAAACATGAAAAGTTTTGGTGCCAGCTTGACAACTTGCTCAGACGGCTTTTAAGGGGGGTTAAATTCTGACCCATGAAATCCAGCATGGAAAAGAAGCTAAAACACATAATTCCTCATAACTTTGTTAATAATAGACGAAAATACACCAAACTTGCTCACATGATTGGACGTGATCCTCCCTGTTGATTTATGCTAATTTACATAGGTCACGTGACCTAACGCATGAAAGCGAGGCTGAAACACATAATTTCCCATAAATTTGTCAAAAAAAATCCTTATCATGCCAAACTTACTCACCTTAGTCAGTTAGACATCTTGCATCGATTGGTGCCACTTTGCAGTGTCACGTGACCCCATACATGGAAACGAGGCTGGATATATCTGGTAGCATCGTGTAGGATGGCATTTGTCTTGCCAAATGTATTAATAACTACTAGGCAGATACATATCTGGTTATCCGAGTTCAGATATAAAAACTTCAACTAATCATTGTCCTATGGCCCATAGCACAGGGACGAGACGGATAAAGCAAATACTGCGGAGGCTCCATTTGAGAATCTATCTTGTACACATAATCAATAATTTTGCCAACTTATGATACTGGTTCCATGTATTCATTTTCGCATGTATATTGGAACAAGGGCAGAAAATGAAAATAGCGACTACTGCTATTTTATATATACAGTCATGAAAGTCTTACTGAATATCTATATACATTGTTATGTTGTCCATTCCTATGGAATTTCCTGTTCGACTTCGTCTTCATCATACTTATAATCACTCTCAGCATACTCGTTCTGGCAATCTTCAGAGCACAGACAGAGATCAGTACAGACAAGTCCGGCTTTTTGACACTGACAACGGTTGTTAGAGCAACGGGACTTGGCGCACTTGCATCGGACAAGCTGTATAATTACCTCTGGAGCTGGTGGAAGATTTGTCATGACTGGTACCCACTTTCCATCTTCATCTTGCCATCCATAGCCTTCTAGTGAAGGCAACACCGGGTTTGCTACATGATCGTTGTTCCAAACAAGAAGCTGGTAGTGCGCTCTCAGTATGGCTTGATGGAGAGCAGCTTTTGTGGGCGGCAACCTCTCAGACTCAGCTTGATTTTTCTTAAAGAGGGACCATCTGACGGCTTTGACAGTTTTGATGTCTGTCTTTGGTTGATACATCCGACAAACCAGCTGTTCCACTCCACTTCTTGTGCCGTCATCTAGCTGTTTCCCACAACCGAGGTTAGCAAGAGCTTGCAATATAGGAGTGCTGGCGTTATCAAACTCATCCCAACAAGTAGCTTTTCCCTTTCCAGAGAAACTCCCAGTAACATCTGCTCCGGTCAACGCATGAAATGCTGGCAGCGCAGCCGTCTTAGTGGGCCCAAGGGCGTCTGCGATTGACTTCAAGTCGATCTCTCTACTGCCGGTCCCAGTAACAAAGCAAGAGTTGGAGCACAAATCTGGATACCGTCGGAGAGCCAAAACAAGAACATCAGTGTCAGGAGAATATATAGATAGTTGGGTAGCACCTTGAGCAGAGGCATCCAGAGCATGTAAAATAGTCTTCGTGTCGGCTTCTTCTTGTGTACTTCGTAAATGCCTGACGTCTCTGTGCGTTGCCTCACATTGCTATACGTACAGCATTAATATGCATTACAATGAGTCAACGTTATTGTCCTGGATGATGTGTTCACCTTTGGCGTGTTTTGCAATCCAGCCTCATTTCCATGTATGGGTCACGTGACACTGCAAAGTAGCACCAATCGATGCAAGATGTCTAACTGACTAAGGTGAGCTAGTTCGGCATGATAAGGATTTTTTTGACAAATTTATAGTAAATTATGTGTTTCAGCCTCGCTTTCATGCGTAAGGTCACGTGACCTATGTAAATTAGCATAAATCAACAGGGAGGATCATGCCCAATCATGTGAGCGAGTTTGGTGTATTTTCGTCAGTTATTAACAAAGTTATGAAGAATTATGTGTTTTAGCCTCGTTTCCATGCTGGATTTCATGGGTCAGAATTTAACCCCTCCTTAAAAGCCGTCTGAGCAAGTGGCAAAGCTGGTACCAAAACTTTTCATGTTTAGTAGGACGTAATGAACAATTTTACACTAGGTGCTTGCTTTTAGCACGAACTTCACACGGGACCTTATTTTTGCTCCCAGACTATTGTGAAAAACCAGTCATGCATCTAGTTACACAAATTGGCTAAAATATTTAACAGCATGAGATTCTCGAACTTTCCGGCCAACCTAATTATATTAGCATTCCAACGTTTTACTATTTACGCATTTTACACGAACTTGAAAAACTATTGATGCGCAGTGATGCGAAACTGATTAAATATTCAAGAAACTTCTAGGCTTAAATAAGCATAATCACGAAACTTCTTAACAGTCACGAAAGGCACGCAACAATTTTTCGTAACAAGCTGCTATTATTCATTATTTTTATTCTTCTGATGTAGATATTTAGCTGTAACTATAGTTTTACGTTCTTTAATTTTATTTTTATTTCTTTTTTAACTGTTTGTATTCTTGCTGAAAAACCGATTCAGGGAGTTTCAATAAAGGTCTTTATCTGTATCTGTAATTTCAGTCTTCTATTTTTCGCAGAAATCTCAAGGGTGGATTGCGCAAGGATATTGCTTATGAGTACAAGTGCACCTGTCCCGATGGATTCACCGGCAGCCATTCAGAGCAAGGAGGGTGGACGGCTTTTTCATGCTTAAGGACACTAGATGTTTATTTTGTTTTTATCCATCCTCATGAAACGAAATAGCACGCACTTTAGCAGAAATACCACAATGCTCTCTGATATGCAGATGTTGTTGGTACTTTACTTATAGGTCTAATCTTTTCAGTGTGTTAGTTCTCAGCACGAACTGCCGTGCCATGTTTCAACTCCTTGACACCTTATATACTGTGAACGAAAATAACAACATTGTTTACATAAGCTATCTAAAATTAGTTCATTTTCCGGCTTGGATATACTTTAATTTTTCCCTACAATGCTTGTGACTCGTTGAATTTTTAGCCTTTGTGTGCTTACCATGAATCCGAATGTATCACACAAACGAAGGCGACCTCACTGAAAGCTAACCTAACCTAACTTCTTTGACAATGCAAACCGTAGGATGCTAAGCTTACAGAATGAAAGATTTGAAGGTGAATCCTGATAATCAGCTATTATTTAAGTTATAGCGATATGACAGAAGAGAGTATTCATTTGCGGCAACCCAATAAGATGTGGAGAGTTAAGAGAGATCAGCTGTTTATTTTTGCAGAATATGACCGGAAGTAGAATCGCATTTATCCTTGCCTCAAGCGTAACTGGCTATGTGTAGTTTACAACAAAGTGTGTTTTATTTATGAGAATAAGTATTGGTTACGAAGAGAGTTTTTCTTTTAAGAAAATAAGCGCTGAATAAATTATAGAGAAACTGCCGGATACCAATTACTATTTCAACAACGACATTGATGCTTCTATAGTTCACAACAACATTTGAATGATAACGATTGATAAAGTGGATCTGAAATTTTAAATGAGTATCAAAATTTACCATCTCTCTTATTTCTATCTACAAACATTACGCTTTCGACATTGCTGATCCTAGCAGTATGCAGGACGCGTGCCATATGAACGTCGTAATAGCCCTCGCTCACCGCGGAGTCTCTGTGGCTCAGTGGTTAGAGCATTTGAGCGCGGAATCCGAAGGTCTGAGGTTCGTTTTCTCATGGGGAATCAGAATTTTTTCTTTGTCCCACGTTCGTGACAAGACGAAGAAACATCTTTCTCTATTAATTATTCTGTTATTCAGCTCTCAGAGCATCCTTTCTGATCATAATTGGAAAAAAGATTTCATAAACGTCTCTGAACTCCTTTTATATTAATTGAAATCTTTTCGAAGCTTTTACAATACTGCGTGTACGCACCGAAGGTAAAGTCTCGACCAAATGAATTTTTTCTGTGACTTAAGGCTTCACGCTCAAAATATTTCATCTGGAAAGCCTGATATCCTGTGGTTTGCTAGAGAGACCCTCGATGCGTTTAAGTTTATTACTCTTATTTAGGAGGATATGTGTTGGTTACGAAGAAAGTTTTTAATTTAAGACAATAAGTGCTCAATAAATTATAAAGAAACTACCGGATACCAATTACCATTTCAACAACGGCATTGATGCTTCTATAGTTCACAACAACATTTGAATGATAACAATTGAATCTGATATTTTAACTAAGTATCAATTATTAACTTCAAAACGGCAGTGAGGCTTCTTGAGTTGACCAGAAAAGTTGAATGACAACAACTGATAAACTAGATTTGTATTTTAAGGGAAGGCGGAATTCACAGTTTTTTTTTGTTTTTATTTTTCCTTCCTTGAATAAGATGATATATTTCAGTGTTTAGTCAGACAGAAATGGCCGACGTAATTAACACTTCGCACGGACAAATATGTCTCTTTAACATTTAATGAACGATTACAATATTAATTATTCTTTTATTCAGCTCTCAGGGCATCCTTTCCACTTGACTATGATTGGAAAGAAAAATATTAAAAAAACGTCTCTGAACTCCTTATAAATTATTTGAAATATTTTCGAAGCTTTTACAAAGCTGCGAGTATACACCGAAGGCAAAGTCTCGACCGAAAAAAACCGAAATGAATTTTTTTCTGTGTGTTGTTGTAGTTGGGTTATTAATACCTGAAATCGAAGTATGTCAGGCAATTCTTTGTAAGGAAGCGTCTCTTTCTTGTCCTGTTATAACTCGCAATAATCGCCGACTTAAAGGCTTCACGTTCAAAACATTCCACCTTGCAAGCCTGGTATCCTGTGGTTTGCTATGTCAGAGAGACCCTCGATGTGTTTCAACAAATTTCAGAAAAGTTTTCAAAAGTGAGGGAACCTGTGAGTTGAACGACAGAGGAGTTCTCCTTACTGAGAAAGGAAACGAATTGGAATACGACGAAGAAGCAATTTACACCCAATTTTACGATACGAAGGTAACCAAAAAAGTCTATAAAAGACGAAGAAGGTGTTACTGATTCCACGAGACATTTGTCTTTCATTCGTGGTATCTTTCTCATAAAAATTTTCATATTTCGACGACAGATGTGAAAAATTTCTATCTCTCATATTTTTCTTTGAATGTTTTTATCGTTTGGCCTTCAATTAGCTCATTTGTGCAGTCTCCATACGGTGATGAACCCGGAAGACTAGTTGATTTCCCGATAAAATAAAAAATGAATGATGTTTTATGTTTTCAACACTACTGTCAGGCATCCAAGGAAGATTTAAAAGTCGTCAAATGCAAATGTAAGTAGTGTTGGTTTTAAAGGTATTCTTGAGATTAATGTCAACGACCTCGTGTTTAAATTACAATGAGTTTCTTGTCCTGGCTGCTTCTTGTCTCTCCACCAATAGGTGCGGAGACAGCCGTCCTCGCGAACCTTCGCAAACATTCCCGAGCCTGCTTGAAACACTGCGATTCTTATAGTTTCCTTGAAAGTCCACAAATGCTGTCAAAAAAAATTGCCGAGGAAATTGTTGCTTAGGTCACTTCTAAATCAAAGTGGAAATCAAACCTTTAATTCCCACGAGTGACCAAGACAGAATTTCTCCTTATAATAACCATACAATATCAATCAGACAGGTGTGAGAATAATGAAAAATATAAGTCCTCCTTTATCCCATGATGAACAAATCAATATCTGTGTGATTGTATTTCTCTGCCTCAATTTCAGGTGTGGAATCACCGGTGCTATTTTTGACTCACAGATCACCGCTTCCTCAGTGTTGAATGATAGACATGCCGCACCGAATGTTAGATTACATTTCAAAGGATCCGAAAACCCGGTTAGACGTGCTGGCTGGGTAGCTGGAGTGAAAAACACTAACCAATGGCTGCAAGTGGATCTTCAGCAAACCACAAGGGTAATAGGCATAGCGACGCAGGGGAGACATGATTGGGATCAGTGGGTTACTAAATACAAGCTACAATATGGCGATGATGGACTAACTTTCAGGATTTACAAGCGAAACGTAGACACATCAGACACGGTATGAATACGAAAGACTTTTTGAACAAGATGTTTTTTTCCTTCTTGCTGTAGGGTGGGACAACGAAAAACAATTAGTCCCAAGAGCGATAGAACCTCAGATCTTCGCATTCTTCGCTCCAATACACTAACGCTTCGCCACAGTGATCTTACAGACAACTGAGCTATTACGAGGTCCATCATATGTTCAAATATGTACTTTTCTTTTTTTGCTTTTGGTGGGTCTGAGACGAGGTCGAGATACATGAGAACGCTAGAGAACGAGTAGTAAAAAATTAGTGAGATCAAACTGTATTACTTTATATCTATGTTTGTATTTGATGGCTGATAAACATGTAGAAAAGCATCAACTAAGGTTCTAGGTTTAGACCTACTGCTTCTGTATAATGCATACATTCGTCAATTCTACATCCCACAATACTCTACTCAGGTTTTCCCAGGAAACACTGACAGGGACACAGTTGTGTATCACGATCTTAACCCCGTCATTGATGCTCGCTTCGTTCGAGTTCTTCCGATGGAATGGTTTGACTTTATCGGGATGAGAATGGAGCTTTAC